CCCACCACCAAACCGGTCGTGCTGGATGATGTTACAGGCAGCATAATGTTCACCACAGCATCTCCAGACTCTTTCACTTCTGTCACATGTGCCCAGTGTGAACCTGCTCCCATCTGTGAAGACAACGAGGCGCCAGTGGTGGACCTGCCAATTCTGATATTCTCTTACGAATGCCAATGGAGCTGCACGCTGCTGGGCTGTGAGCACAGGTCCCACTAGAGGACATCGGGTCCTCATGCCACCAACATGGAGTCTGTTTCTCAGTTTGGTCAGAAACATGCACACCAGTAGCTACTGGAGGTCATGTTGTAGGGCTCTGGCAGTGCTCCTCTTGTTGCTCCTTGCACAAAGGAGCAGATACTGGTCCTGTTGTTGGGTTGCTGCCCGTCAACGGCCCTGTCCAGCTCTCCTCATGTAACAGCTGGTCTCATGGTTTCTCCTCCAAGCTCTTGAGACTGTGCTGGGAGACACAGCAAACCATCTTGTGACTGCACGTATGGATGTGCCATCCTGGATGAGCTGGACTACCTGTGTAACCTTGTCTTGCTTTTGCCTCTCCATTGCACCTGTTGTCACTTTCATTTGTACCAAAGCAGGTGAAACTGTTTCACAATCACTTGTGCTTCCTAAATGGACAGATTGAGTTTGCGTGACTTTTTGTTATGCTGTGACCATTAAGTGTGCCCTTATTTTTTTGGGCAGTGTACTATGTCAAAATAGCTGAAAGTCACTAACGTTTCTGGTGAGGGTAACATTTAATTTTTATAGTATTGAAAGTAAAGAAGTAAATACGTGGTTTGTGGACTCAAAGTGTTGTTAACCTGCATTAGATAGAGATATTGGATATGTGTTAATTCTAGTTAGTAGAGAAATAAATCAGCTACATTTTGATATAATATTTAAAAGTCTGTGATGAACTTGAAGAGTTGAGAAAACAGTTTTAACACAGGGTCCATTTATTAGCTACTCTGAAGCTGTCTAACACGATTTTGCTGCTTCTACATGCTACCAAGCAGATGTGTGGACTGGAGTCACATGACTTGGACTCGAGTAAGACTCAAGTCACAAATTTCACTACTTTAAACTTGACTTGACAAAAGCAAAAAGGATGTGCACTTGACTTGTACTTCAACACCAATGACTTGTGACTTCACTCAGATTAGCCTTTTGACTTGAAAACACTTGAGACCTTCCCCCAAGCCCAAAGATTAAAAAGTTATTTACAAAGTGAGCCATGAATCAAATAATTTCCCTTCATTGCCTGACTCAACTAACATTAACGCGATTCATCCCAAGCAAGTCAACACCTAATTCCCTCGATCCATTTTGTTTGAACCGATCCGAGAGCATCCAGTCAAGCTGCAGGAAAAGTGGCATAGGTAGTTATGACGGGCCTCAGTGCACGCTACTATGAGGGGCCCAATAGTGTAGGCTATCGTGCACATTGACACTTGCCATCGGATTACATTAACATACATATTAGCCAGCAGTCATTATTGCATATCTGTATATCACAAAAAATACAAATGAAAAGGAGAAATGATTAATTTCATTTAACAATTGAAAAGTTTATTTGTAATAAGCATTTTATTTTGTTATAGATGCTATTGACTATTTTACAAAAAAAGAAAAAAAATATGACAGAGATGTGTTTGCCCTTTTTAAGATCATATATAGCAAATGGTACTGTTTGTAATTTAATGAGTTCTTCTTTGAAAACAGGCATATTTCCAAGGTGGCAGTCACTCATAAGGGCCCATTCTTGACCTGGAACTTGAGTGCAAAGACTTGAGACTTACTTGTGATTTCCAAAACAACACTTGGTTCCACCTCTGCTGTCAAGCCTCTAAATGTTAAGTTAGAAACTTTTACCATGTCCATCTTTATATACATCTTTCCATGTATGCTTCATAGAGTAAAATTTATATAGCACTTGTTATATCAGACATCAGAAAGTGCTTCACAATAAAAGACAAAATCAAGACAAAAAATACACATGCAATATAAAACTAGTACATAAAAAGAGAGGTAAAATAAATTAAACAATATAAAGCTAATAAGCAGATGGGTCAAAGCTGGAGAAAAAAGTTAAATAGGTATAAAGATCAAGGTGCTGTTCTAACCAATGAGCAGTCAGTCCATTTAAACTTCCAGAAGTTTGATGTAGAAAGCTATAAAAAGCATCATCTTGGCATCCTGATCCTATGTTAATACAGTTTGGTGAAGACAGCAGAATAGCATCACAGCAGCTTAACTGCCCTCATTAGGAAAAACCTAATAAAAAGACTTTGTAATCAAATCCACCGCTTTTAGCACTGGGCACTTTGAAAAGGCTGCTAACTGGATATTCAGAGTGCAGCGGTCACGCAGGAGAGAGTGCATCAAATGAGGTTACTTTGGGAAATGGATATGACACAGAGATAGGACAGGAGGCATCCAGAGCCATCATAAAATTGTCACGTAAGAGCTAAGTGGCAGCCAAACTGTCTCGCCTCATGTTACTTGACCTGTTGTCCGGCTGCATCACCTGAAGTTGGGGAACGGTGACATGCAGACTGTTTGTTGATAGATGGATAGATAGATAGATAGATAGATAGATAGATAGATAGATAGATAGATAGAGTTCTGATTCCTCCAGCTTCAACATGTCTTCTCACTGCCAGAGCAAGAACAGAGAAGGGTAAACAATCAGCCGAGGGAAAAAGGCAGCGGTTGCTCAGCCGAGGTGTGGTGGCCCCTGAGGGTCAAAAACATAACAGCATAACAACAAACCATATAGCACTGGCCTTCTCTTACATACAATCCTGTCAATCTGCATTGGCACACATGGGCAGAAGAACATCAGACTGACAGGAGCCTCCATCGCATGCCCTGGTGCCTGTTAGAGCATGTCGACTCTAATCACACATGGACATGTGCATGTTGGCCCTCTGTGCTGACAGACAAACAGACATGGACATGACACAGCATGGTTCTTTCTCAAATTTAGGATTTTTCTTTGAACTGTTTTCTTTTGGCAGCTCTATAAATTATTCTCATCTCTATTGTCTCCTGAGCTCTTCTGGAGTTTTGATCCTGTGCGAAAATATGACAGCATCACTTCACACAGTCGCATCTATGTTCCTGCAGATCACCCATTTCACTGTTTACTGCAGATAAATGCTGTTGTTTATTCAGAGCTCTGAACCAACAAACCCATACAAATAAATACTGTTGTTTTCTCATTGACAAGTAAGCAAAGGCGAGCCGGAGAGGAGCTGTGGTGTGTTGTTTACTCAGGCAGAAGTCCTGGTGTGGCATTTAATAAGACATGCTATTACCTCACATTATCTAAAGCCACTGTAAGGTGTGAGTCATCCTATGGAGGGAATCCTGGGTTGAAGAGGAGGGCTGGTTAGAAAAATAGAGAAAAAAGGGGCCAAAGCCTCGTTGTCACAATGAGGCAGGAAGATGGCTCCTTCTATTCAGCTAAGGAAACAAAAACTGCTTCTTTTATATTTTGAATTAGTATTTTACACCCTCTAATAACACCTGGATGTCTGAATAGTGTTATTGTTGTTTGGTCATGCAAAATTGTAAGATTACAGGTCTCAGCAAGTGATTACAGAGCTTAAGCTTTAGGACTACAGGACAATGAATCACATCTTGTTCATCCACAGAGTGAACACATGGATTTTGTTGGCTCTGAAACTATGAGGGGAGCATTGGGGGGGGGGGGCGGTCCGGCCCCGCTCCTCATAGTCTGTCAGCCTGTGTTATCCCTCCATCCTTTCACCACCTGATCTACCTGACAGCTCAGTCCTGCAGGCAGAGGTGGACTCATGGCCCAGAGAAACTCCACACTCCGGTGCACTGAAGCCAACCAACCCCTGCTGCACATAATCTGTCTCAGACGGAGGTTTTCCTGAACATGTTCTCACTCATATATAACACACACTTACATGTAGTGATTGTTGTTAGATGGGCAGACTGATTCTTCTTTAGAGTCAATCTGAAAAATTAGAGTCTATGTGGAATTTTTTGTTCTTTTTGGGTCTTGGGCATCAAAAATGACACAGTCGCCATCTTCTGGACAATATGTGACATCGCTTTTGTGCAACCATTACAGGGGAATAAGGAGAGCTGAACATGCTGCAGAATTTCTTGCCAAATTTACAATATTTTCTTAAACAAAAGTGTTGAAGTAAAGTTACTAAATGTCCATCAGCATTTATATCTGTTATATTTTAATAAAGTGAAGCATAATGATTGTATAATAAACATATTTAAAGTGTTTTGTTTATCATCAGTAATAACATTAAACCAGAAATTTGACCTGATACATCCCAAGTTTGGGAACTCTTGGCACTTTTCCTGAGTGTGGAACAGGTGGAGCAGGTGGAGCATATTTGCTTTGAAATGCAGTGTATACAATTTCTGGTACATCATAGATGCTGAATCACATTTTTTAGGGATGGTACACGCTGAGATCAATAACTGCTGAATGATTTAACTAGATAAATCACATTTTTTTCCTGATCAATGTGATGTGTGTGATTTGCAGATACAGTTTCTGGTTCATTTTAAAATTTGGTGTCCTAGTCTTTCTATAGTAAGACCACAAGATGGCGTAAAGACATAATGTTTTCAGTTTAATTTGCAACAAGCACATGCCTCCCTCTTCCATGTATTATATGTACCCGTTCGTTTTCAGTTCATTTTTTATTTAATTGCACTGAATGTCTTTATAAAATATCGGTGCAGAGACAACATCACAACAGGGAGTTAACCCCATGATGTCTCCTTGAATCAGTGAAGTTTAATTTAAAAAATGTGGAGCACTATTCCTAAAGTAAGCAACTATATCTGATAGAAATTATTATTTTAATGCTGGAAATCCATCTTTGCTTTCTTTAATTTTTAGCCTGCTCTCTAGGCTACTTGGACCACCAATGGCAGCCCTGCATGTGTCTTTAAGAGGCGTGTGTAAGAGGAGGTGGAGTTGGGATCGCAGTGTACGAGCAGCACTCAGCTGATGGGAGGAGTGCTGCTTGCAGACAGGAGACAGGATCCATGGCAACAATCATGGCAGGTGGGAGCAACAACAACAAAAAAAAATTGGATAAATATTTTTGAATTCTGTTTTCATTGTTTTGAGAATATACACTAAGTTGAGTTGTGGCAGATAGTGAACATGTCCTGTGTGGGACTGTGTGTGCTGTGTTTTAGAGGCAGAGACTCGTCAGAGGCTGCTGCGCACCGTCAAGAAGGAGGTGGGTGTTTTCAGCTCAGCAGTTATCGAGTCGGAAAAACAAACACGTTGGGTTTGTATGAAACTGTTCACCCTGTGCACAGATGGGTGATACCTCAGGAACAGTGGGTGACACTTGTTATGCATGATCTGTCTTTTCCTGATGATGACACCTGAGATAAATAGCTTGGACAGTCATCACTCAAAGATTACAAAACAAGCCCTATTAAAAATGAAAATGTTTAGCTAATTGTAGTCTTTAAAGTATTTTTTCCCTTTAATATAGGCCTATATGTATATGATTCAGTGTTTCCTATTTGAGAGCTCGTGCTGCAGCTCAGTAATTATTCGGGTGGAGAAGCAGCATGAAAGAAACAGATTGTCTGTAGTCAGTGTTTGTGTTTATGGCAGAGCAAACCATCAGCCTTCTGCCGAGCCATTTGGTCGTTACAGTCATACACAAACTCTGTGTGTGTGTGTGTGTGTGTGTGTGTGTGTGTGTGTGTGCGCGTGCGCGTGCGTGCGTGCATTGAGTTATATGGTGTTGAGTGGAAACAAATATGGAAGCAGCTCTGGTGGTTTGTTCAGCTGGTTTTCAGCACTTCATCTCTCATCATCATTTGAGGTTACTGCAGTAACACAGGAGACCAGAGTTCAGCAGAGATCAAATGAGACGTTGCTACCATTTAGTCTGTCTGACATTTAAACCTTGAATGAGGTTTCTTCTCAGAGACCTTCATCCTTGTGAATGGTCTTTCTCAGAAAGCCTACAGGATTCTTCTTCTGTAGATGTGAGGTCCCAGCCCTTGGGGGAAAGGACATGAAATGTTTGCATAAAGATCTCTTAAATGTTAAGAAATGACACACTTATGATTTCACATGGAAGCAAATGTTGCTGATGCTGAGAAGCAAAGCTCAAGTTGCATAAACATCCATTTAGAGGATCAAGAATGATTTTCACTGCTTCTAATGTCTGTTTTCATTGTTACTTCCTCAGATTCACAGCTAAATTATAATTTTTGGACTGGCTTGTTGGGGCTTAATATTAGCAGATTTTTAAGGCCTGCTCTTTTCGCACTGTTACTACTAAATTCGCGCTTCATTAGCTCTTATAACCAGCTAGTATCAAAGTAGCAACTTACTAAATTAGACTGCACCATTAAAAACTTAGAAATGGAAATCAGTTGCTATGAAACGTCTTTAGTGCCATCCAATCAAAAGCATTTCATTAGGCAAACAGGAAGTCACTGCAGCATCACTGACCATTACTAGCTCTAAGATAACCTAGGTATGAATCTTTTTTACTTATATGTACTATATTTAGTGTAGCGTAGAGTGAGAAGAAATGTCCCATTAACCTAACATTAGCTCAAAACATGTTATTTTTAAGGCTAATGTTAGTGGCACACCATAGTGATTTGAAATTTCAGGGGTTTTGTTATGTTTTTTTTTTTGTCCAGGTATTTTTGCGAAATTCAATTTCATCAAAGTTTACATCAGTAGTAAAGTGTCAGGTCACATGTGTAGACCATACTTATGTTACTCTCCTATCTAAACTGGCTAACTTATATAAGTTACTGTATATTAGCAGCTATCATTGGTTCAGATAATTTTACCTATCCAACAGTTACACCTGACAATGACTGCAGGTAAATATTTAGAAGTAATTTCTTTGTAAGAACCAGTGGTAGAACAAGTACTGAGATCTTTTTCTTAAGTAAAAGTAGCAACACCACAGCACAGAAATACTCTGTTACAAGTAAAAGTCCTACATTCCGATCTTTACTGAAGTAAAAGTATAGAAGTATAGCATCAAAATATACTCAAAGTACCAAAAGTAAAAGTAGTCATCATGCAGAATGGCCCATTTCAGAATACTGTATTTTTATATATTTTATTATATGGTGTTGATGCATTCATGTGTTCATCACTTTAATGCTGCAGCTGGTAAAGGTGCAGCTCATTTTAATTAGTGTATACATTGCTGGGTGGTTTAATCTATATTAACATACCATAATTTATTAGTTAATTATAATTTCTATTAGGCCGCATGATGGTGCAGTGGTTAGCATCATCGCCTCACAGCAAGAGGGTTCCTGAGTTTGCATGTTCTCCCCATGTCACCGTGGGTTTTCTCTGGGTACTCCAGCTTCCTCCCACAGTCCAAAGACATGCAGGTTAATTGGTGACTCTAAATTGTCCGTAGGTGTGAATGTGAGTGTGAATGGTTGTCTGTCTCTATGTGTCAGCCCTGCGATAGTCTGGTGACCTGTCCAGGGTGTACCCCGCCTCTCGCCCAATGTCAGCTGGGATAGGCTCCAGACCCCCGCGACCCCCAACAGAAAAAGCAGTTACGGAAAATGAATGAATTAATATTGTATTAGCAATCAAAATCTATAAAGTAACTAGTAACTAAAGGTATTTAATAAATGTAGTGGAGCAAAAGTACTATATTTGCCTCTAAGATGAAGTAGAGTAGAAGTACATAAAGTAGCAGAACATGTAAAAACTCAAGTGAAGTACAAGTACCTAAAAATGTACTTAAGTAAATGTACTTAGTTACTTCCCACTAGTTTGAATGGTGAAACCTGATTTACTCAGGATTTGTGTTATTTGATTTGTGTTATTTCTCCACTTTGTAAACACCTGTCATAATTAGTTTGAGCTTAGTAAATGGTGCGCACAAATGGTGCAGCTGGCAGGAAACTAAAACTCCCCTGAAGTATAATAATAGAAGATTATTCAAGTATTCACTGCAATGTGATTAAATATTTATGTTGAACCAATTCAGCTTCCAACAAACCCATGCACACATTGCAGATAGATGATTATTTTACATATCAGCAAACTGATGTATGTTTCACTCCATTGTGGCTCTATTGTCCTGCAGTGGTGTTTACTCTGTGTCACTACTGCGGAGGTTTTCGTTAAGCTCTGTTTGTACAGGAAATGTTTTCTCAAAATCACAAACACCTTGCTTAACATTTACAGTCAACCCTTTCCTATATAACCTAAACGGCGCTATTGTTTGTTTTGGTGGCTAAAAACCTGATGCAGAGGAACAACATTAGTTTTAATAGAGCCAGGAGTGTTACTCATTTCCATTTCCTGTCCAGATTTTCCCCAGTAGAGAATGCTTTGTTTAACATTCCTCTGTTAACAGCTGATGGATTTATTTCATTAGTTTCATCTCATATTGCCTCATAAACTACAATACTTTATTTCAGCTAAACAAACAGAGATAAAAATCACATCCTGGATCTTGTGAAAAGAGGAATTAAGAGTCTTTGCTTTGATTTGTTTTCCTCCGAGTCCTGTTTTCAGTCTTATCAGTGGAGACCAGACCCTTCCCATGATTAAACCTGCCTCCTTTGTGCTGGTACGGCCTCGCTGGGATTCACTTGCAGTGGCTCTTTCACTGTTTACCACAAATGCAGCCTGATGGAGTCTGTGGATGAACCAGCAACACAGTATGATAGCTGACTTCATAAAAACCAGCACTAATCTAGATGAGTTAACAAGAATTTTAATGTATTGGTAGATGTGTTTCAGATACACCTATTTCCTGTAAAGGAAACATGGATGTTGGTGTTTGTATTATTTTTCCCATTAGTTTATAATCATTATTACTCTGTGTGGGTTTTACCATATGGTGTATTTATGCTGTATGTTCTCACGCTCTCCCTGTCCAGCTGGTTGTGTGCCACCAGTCTGCTCTGATATACCTACATGTGGGCCATTATCCAGAGAGCGCAGGGCGTCTGTGGCAGCAGAATTACCTTCTGGCACAAATTGGTTTGAATGAGATCTCTTATTTGCCTTAGCTTTGATACAGAGCTCCCTCAGTCTGTCTCCTTCTCTTTCTCTTACTGCGATCGTGCCTCTGAATCACGCTCCTCCCTCTGTCTTTTTGTATATCACACGTCCACAAAAACACACACCTGTGTTTGCTAAAGGAGAGAGGGGGGTGGGGTGGGGGTGGGGGCTGTTAGAGGAACAGGGCACAGAGATCTGCACATTTACTTTGCCGTGTGCTTACTCAGGGTAAGGTTTCAGGCAGTGGAGTGTAAGATAATCCACCAGTCTTTTTCTGTGTTTTCTGCTTGATAGAGATTGTTAGAGACATTAATACAGGGTTGATTCAGGAACACGCTGCAGAGAAATCATCAAATATTATTGTTGTCATAGATACTGATAGAGATTATTACACTCTATTATGCAGTTTCTCACCTTTCCAGGTTAATGTATTCATAATCAGGTCTTGGTATGGATGAGATAGGATCACCTGACGAGTTTTCACACCACTTATAATCAAACTGAGCAGCAAGGTGCTGTTGGTGTGACAATTAAGCTAATGCTATGCAGCAGTTTTATGGTTGTCCTCAGCCTTGATTTATAGTGCATGTGTTAAAATGATATTGGAAGTTGACAAAACAATCTCAATACAGATTGAGCCAACGTGGGCAAGATGTCTTCAAAATGTTTAGGAAAAACAGAGCATCTACAGCTCCATGTGAGCTCCTTCAGCTGTTCCAGGCAGTGTTGTGTTGCATTGATTTTTGGTGGATTCATGTTCACTGATTTTTAATAGTTGATCTGTCTGCTTATTCATTATTACATTTTTAGTCAAATAATAGAGTCTTAATTCAGATGCATAACTTTAAATCTGAAGCGTGACTCTACCAGTCATGATTTTTCTTCTTTTTCCCCCCGTCATTCCTCAGCGGCCACAGAGATGATGAATAATGAAGGGTGGACGTTAATGGATGGGGCTTTCTCTCTGGCTCTTATTTCTTGGCGCTGATGTTGTAGAAGTTAATTGGAATACTCTGAAGATCTTTTATCACTCTGGCTGATGCCTTCAGGCTACAGTGGAGCAGATTCATCAGACTTTGCTGCTATAAAAGAGCCGTTTAATGACTGTTAAGCCACGCACATTGTTTTATCTGTGTATTCTGGTGAAAATGTGTTTTGTGGTGGCATTTTATTATACATAACCACTTCAAATCTTGTGTATATTCATGCTTTATTGAACAGACAGGGACTCTAGGTGGTTGGATGATGTGTAAAACAACAGCACAGCACATCCAGATATTATTAGTTACTGTAGTTGGGGAGCTGCAGTAATTGTTGTTTATTCCATTGATAAATTAACGTCGTTGACGCATTTTCTTAGGTGGAAGTCATCCACTGTGCGACATGTGCCGTCTCCATAGAAACCTGCAGGTTGTCTGAGCCGTAGACACTTCACCATATGAATTCCTCCGAGTCCTGAGCTGTAGCCCAGATGAGAGAGATGAGAAAACACGAGGAGTCTGCGTCCTCAAAGTGGCAAATCAATCAGCTTCCTGTATGTCAGGTGCACTCAGAAAGAAAATTGGTGCATATAGTTCCCCTGTGTTTTGTGCGTGTGTGTGTGTGTGTGTGTGTATGTGTTTATGCAGGCTTTATGTAAGTGTGATTGTGAGCGGAGCGGGTGTGCATCACATCACACTGGCATTGTCTGTGTTGTGTTGACAGCGTGAATCATGTCTGTTGATGCTGAAGATAACAATGCTACTGATGCGAACAGGCCAAATTTGCGTGATAACTGCTGTTCAATTAGTGAATGTTTTGTTTCTTATTAAAATGTTTTCATGGGGTAGGACTCTGGGCACATCTCGTTTCCTAGTGTTTTGTAAACCTTTCTGGTTTTATCACAAGTGAGACATTAGTCAGTTGTAGGATTTATCTTGCATCAGCAGTGAGGGTGCAGTCAGTGCTCAGTGGGCACTATCACGATAAAACAAGTTGTTTTGTGCTTCACAGATGAATCTGAAATCTTTGGCTTTATGTTTTGCTGTGTTGTTCTCCCTTTTATTCAGGTGTTGCTTTTTTAGAAGAGAAATTAACTTCATGTGGACTGATGCATGTGTATGTGTTTAGTGTGAGTCTCACAATTTTAGACTTATATGTAGGTTTGGGCAACATATACTAAGTAAAGGATAACAGTACATCTTCTGCAGGTATTACAATCCATCTTTGTACAACACATAAAGTAGATATTAAAATCGCTGGTCCATAAAATGGAGCCGTAGTGGAAAATCTAACCTGAAGACAGAACTTTATCTGCTGGAAAGTTTTATGATCAAGCTGTAAATATCAAACCATGAAAACTGATTATATGACATCTGGCTGCTTCTTGACCACTGAACTGCCTCAGAGAAAACTATGAAGGATGAAATCAGTGTGTAGATTGGAAAAAAACAAGTTGAAATAGAGCATCAACCACTGGAGCAAATATGTGTATGTATGTGTCTCAGAGAGTGTGTGTCTGTGTTTGTGTAGAGGGTGAACTTGGCAGTGAAATATGGTCGTTGTGGACAGACTCATTTCAACAGGAAATTACAGCTATCTGTGTGGCTGTGTCCGGACGTTGATATTCCCCATGCAGATTGCAGAGCGGTGCCCACACAGGGGGACGTCGCCATAGCCACCAGAGGGATTGATTTATCAGTTGTCTTAACTATTGGTCTGTAGCTGTTGTCAGGTCAGCAAGGAGAGGGGGGGCATTGCTGTGACGACAAAACCTAACTAATAAGCGTACTTCATGAGCATAATGTGACCCTCTGCATCTTTTTAAAAAGAGTTGGGTTTGCATGAGCAGGATGTTATCATCGGCCTTTGACGCAACAGAATCAATTGCTCCCACTGAGGATTACAAACTGTTCAGAGAAAGGGGGTCTGTGATAGATGAACGCCCCTCCCCTCTCTCTATTCACCCCCCACCCCCAAATGTACCACCTACGTCTCCCAGTAGAGGTCCTTGGGATAAGAGCTGGTGACTCATCCTCCAACTTAACATACACTCTTCCCACTCAGTGTTGTTCTACCTCTTAACTTTTCAACCCCATTTTACCTCCGAGTCCTGCTGCACTCTCTCCCTGTCATTAAACCTCCTTTTTATACACGTGTTATAAATGTCATAATTATTCTGTGAGATGTTCTTGTAAGGCTCTCGCCAACAAGCCCCTCACAGGCTGTGTGTGTGCCAGTTATGGCATGTTAATGAATGAGTCATCCAGCATCTGCCATGTCATTGACAGGTGAAGCAGATTATGGAGGAAGCCGTCACCAGGAAATTTGTTCACGAAGACAGCAGCCATATTGTGTCCTTTTGTGGTGAGTAACCAAACACACGAATGAATCACACAGCTTTGCTCATTTATAACCTCTTCAGCTTGAACAGTTCTGCAACACTGAAAATACCCTGAGTGGGTTTTTTGGTTCAGATCATTCCTGCCATTGTCTGGTTTAATTACATGTGACACATTTTATATTGTAGTCTTGATTCTACTACCTTACATTGTCCCTATTTTTTTTATTTTTATAGTTGTCTTCAACTTAACAATTATGACTTAAAGGAAAGGTTCACCCAAAAATCAAAAATACCTATTTTTCCTCCCACCTGTAGCGCTATATATCAACCCAGATTATTTTGGTGTGAGTTGAATCTAATGCTAGCTCACCTGGTGCCACTAAACTAGCTAATGTTGCCACTCAGTCGTGGAGGGTGCCATTAATGTTAACATTTTGTGCTGTCATGTACATAAAGATCTTGTCCATGAATAGATGCATGTTTCCTACTGTGTGGTGATAGGGTTGGCGGGTGTAGTTTGGTGGAAAGAAAGTAGTTCCTAGCATTGTTAGCATTGTTGCCTCACAGCAAGAGGGTTCCTGGTTCGAATCCAGGGAGACCATCTTTGCAGAGCCTACATGTACCCCCAGTGTGAGTGTGGGTTTTCTCCGGGTACTCCGGCTTCCTCCCACAGTCCAAACACATGCAGGATAGATTAATTGGTAGCTAAACTGACTAAATTAGCTGTAGGTGTGAGAACGAGCGTGAATTTGTCTCTATGTGTCAGCCCTGTGATATTCTGGCAACCTGTCCAGGGTGTACCCTGCCTCTCAGCCAGTGTCAGCTGGGATAGGCTCCAGCCCCCTACAGAAAATGAATGAATGAATTTTTTCAATGTTTTTTGGCACTTTGAGCACCACAAGCTGAGTGCCATCTAGTTCCATTATATTCAAGAGAAGGCAGACATCTCTACAGCTGATATCTCCAACACTCTGCAACTCACACCAAAACCATCTAGATTGATAAATGGCACTAAAGGCAAGTGGAAAAAAAACATATTTTTGATTTTGGGACACTTGAAATTAATGTGATCACAAATGACCTCACATAAAAAACACCTACCTAGATCTAATTGAGCAAAGGATGTAATTAAGCACATGATGAAACAAAGTAATACATAGGAAGGCAATTAAGCAGAACAAAACTGAAATGGCATATTTTACATTCTGTTCAAGCCACTTGGTAAGCACACTGTAATTTTGAAATGTTTCCCTTTCTGATTATTCCACTCTGCAGCCATTTTAAGAACAGAAGGTCACTCACAAATTCATCATGAGCCAAATGTACAGTCAGAGGTTTTACTTAACATTCCGGCTCCTCCAGTAGACAGCAATGATTGTTCCTTGTTCCGTGTGAGAAAGCAAAAAGCTTCCTGTAACTGAACCAAATGATTGTACACAAAATTGTCCAGAATAGAACAAGAATTATTCACATTTGCCAAAATCATTTGCATTCAGAAATATTCCTAACAGTAATATACATGCAGTAGTACAGGTTTCCTGGCAACACCGATCCTAGTTCATTAGAAAGAGCAGAATAAAGTTGGGGGTCTTTATAATGGGATTAGTTTTCCTTTGTCCAACAACAAGCATATTTGCTTCACATCACCTCTTTTTTCGGGAAGGGAGTTGAGATTTTAGGTGTTAAATTAAAAACAGGCAGTTTGCCCAGTAAAGTGAAGATCTACACCATCCCAATAACTTTTTACAAGCATAAAATCAGTCTGATTTAGAAAAAAAAAAAGACATTTAAAGTTCAGTGTTTCACCAAATGTTATTGTTCTTGCCCCCAAATGGCGCTAGCAGAGTGCAGCATGATGACTGTGAAAAACACACTGCCCACATGCAGACGCTCACACTTGTCAGATGTCTGGCTCAGTTCAAAGCTGTAATCAGTAACAGGATATATTTGGGGATTTCAGTGTTAATAAAATGGCTCTCAGCTTGCAGAAAATGCGATATTTTTACTAGCTGGAAGCCATGAATGCAGACAAAGACCGCTCTTAACTCATATGAGAAGAGACTCTCAGAAAGCCATTGAAAAGTAGGAAAATGTATTTATGGTATAAAAAAGTGCACAGTGATGAAACCTTTCCTTGACACATACTCTTATTACCATTTGAAGGTTGTCTTTAACGTACTGTTGGGTAAATGTGTTTGAGGAGATGCACCAACTAATACATGGAGAAACTGCTGGGTGTCTGTCGGCCTGTCTCTCTATATTGTTGTGAAAACTTAATTGCACACTTACAGTATGTTGCTAAGTGTGGGAATGGGCGATACCATTATATGTAGTAACATATAGTGAGAAAGAAAAGTTTAAATCTGCATTAGTGTGGGAAACAGATTCACCAACACACACACACACACATAAATTTACACTACTGTCTTAGTGAGCCAGTGTTATAGTTGGTCTTGACCACTCTTTGAAGGTCCAATATTGGACTCAACCACATTTTTATTCTCGGTCTCTAATAAACTTACTGTTTTTTGTTTTTGTTTTTATTTTTTACGCTCACTCCATTTTATCACTCTCTGCTCCCTCTCTGAATTCAGAGGTTTTTGTGGATCCATGAATTCAGCGCAGGCAGAGCTCTTCATGAGTTCATTTTTCCTCTGCAGCAGTTTGTAAGAGCTTGAGTTGCAGGGACGGTAATTGATCAGTTAGTCCAATCAGAGCTGATCAGATTGATGGATGGATTGATGGATTGATGGATGGATGGATGGATGGATGGGATGGATGGGTGATAGGAGCAGGAGCTGTAGACAACAAGCCACAACCTCCAAGACTGATAAATGAAGCCAGTGTCTAAGTGCCAAAACTGCAGTTCCTCTAATGGCCACTTGAGGCTGGCACCAGTAAATCCCCATAGACTCCCATGTTAAAATGCCCAACCTTACAGCAGAAATAAACATGTTTACAACCTGGTACAAAAACAGTTTTGGTCTCTATAGATAACTTCAACATTCATGACAGCTGTGTAGGGGTGAATTTTATTATAACTCACCTAACTTACCCCAAGTTATGCATATTTAAGGGCGGGGACATTAGAGTGATAGGCTGTTTGTTGATAGCGTCCACGGCTTCAGTCAGATCCAGCCCACGCTCCTCACAGCGCCAGCCTCTCGCCCAATTATGGTCATTTCTGGCTACCAAAAACAAAAATAGATGGACATGGCCAAAATGCGGAACTCCAAACGGCTTCAAAACGGCAGTTCACAAAGCAATGGGTGATGTTACGGTGGCTACGTCCATTATTTTTACAGTCTATGAGGGGCGAGTGAATGTAGACTTTTAGACTCAGCACATAAGACAGTTAAGCTTCACCTTCACTGTGCTTGGCATTCTGCTGCTCCGTCTGTGCCCAGAGTACGCTCTGTGCTCTGAGAGTGTGATGCAGTTATTAACTTGATGATATATATATGTTTCAGTAGTGCTCCTAATGAACAGCCCAGCTCCACAAATAAAGAATCAATACATAGAGGCAGATGTTATCGTGGCAGGCTGCCACAAATAAATTAATGTGTGGGAAACCCTATGCTACATTTAAACGTCCACACATATAGTCAGCATGGCAACGAAAGATGTGAATGAAGAGGAATCTTTGTTGTCTGTGGATGTTTTATGGGAATGTGGACCTTTCAGAGGAGTGCCTACAGTATGGCTTGCGTGTGGCTCTCGTCATGCATGTGGGACTTGCACTGGTCTTGTCTCAGCCTCCATGCACTCTGGTCTTAAACGTGACTTGTTCTCGGTTTAGGTTGTCTTGACTACAACACTGCAGTAAGCCATAACTTAATATCATTTTTTCACACATGTATGAGCTTAATAAAGTAAAAATGGAAGAGTGAAATGAAATAGTCTGAAGTGGCAGCAGCAGGTCAAAGTGAGCTCTAAATCTCTTGCTGCAATCAAGATGATCAGTATTGTGTCCTTCTTGTGTCATGATATCCAAGTAAAGCTCATTTCATAGTGGAATTATAGCACAGCTTGAAACTGTATTAACCCAGCATGAACAAATTATTTTGGACATTCCTCCCACCAGTTATCATACCCAAATCTCTTTTTATGGTTTTATTTTTCTCTGGGAGGGTTATTAGTATAATTTGTTACAGAACACAGATTCTTATGACAGTGTAATGGAAAATCTTTTTACATGTATCAGCATTGTGGCCATTGTTTTTGCTTTATGTGTTTTCATTACTCCTTCCATGTCCGTGTGTCATCAATATTCTTTGCCTGCTGTGCAGATCATCTTACAGCTTGTTATAATAGCTGCTGGTCAGCCTGGGGTGAATCCTTCCTCTACCACTATAATATGTGTCCCTGTGGACGAGCAGAAGCTTGGGATGACCCTTTCATCACTCTGTTCCATTGTCAGCCACCTTCCTCCTCCTCCTGACTCCTCCTGTGATCCTCATAGTGGCTCTCGTTACTACACGTCCTCTTTCAGCTGTGGTCTCTTTAGAGATGAGAGTGAGTGGAGGATGGGAGGGGAGCGCGGCCAGCTCACCAGGGAGCAATTAGCCTCCACCATCATGGCTGCTTTGATGAGCAGCCCAGGCAGAGTCTGAAATGCAGACGCTGTGGAGGGAATGTGTGTCAGAAAGCCACGACTGGCTTGAGTCATGAAGCAATTTAAGGTAGCACAGCAAAGCTAAAAGCAGCCATAGATTTGTTGATACATTATAAAATCTGTTTAGGTCCTTGATTTGATTGTTAATCTTCAGTTTACCCAGTTACTGTTTACCCTCTGGTCCTGTGTGTTAGAGACCTTTCTTGTTACGGTACAGCAGATATGACAGATCAAAATAATTCTTTTAAATGGCACTCTGACTAATTTGATTGCAGTGAACAGATCTGACTACCTTTAGAAGTGCACACTGAAGCCACAGCAACCTAGTTTACCTGGATTTGCAAACAGGTGTGTTGAAAACTTTGTGTATTTACTTTGCCATTTTCATCATGGTCAGCAAAGTAAAGCTTGCATCTTTTTCCATGGCTATAGCTACCAAAATAGTTTGCACATTGCAGCTCTGTGGCTTGAAGGATCGATTACCATTATGCTAAAATAATTAAAACATGCTTTGATGATGTGATTTAAGTTAGATAGGCAGACGAATAAGATTAAATCTATCTCACTATAGTTGTAATTGAGATTAATGGTTGTGATGTGATAAAGGAGCATTCGACAAGCACTGTAGTTCTATCACTTGTTCATAATACCAAATAAAACCAGTTTAATACAAGTTCAATACTTTTCTGTATATCCCTGGGTATGATCACTGAAAGGCGTCAGTGCACCCACACGGTCTACACGTCCAACATGCAGTAGCTTTTAGATTTTCACTCCCACATTGTCTACGGTGTGTGCTGCTGTTTTTGACATTTCCAGACTAACCAAGGACTTTTTATTTTGCTTGATACAAAACATATTTTGAGGTACATTTTCAACCTATTTCACAAAGTGCAGCACTGTTCCTTTAACCAAACAAAGATTGCATTTGGAAATAGTGCGTTTTTGCTTTTTGAATATAATAAAATCAACCTACAAGGTAAAGCATCATATTTTGGCCTGCAGCTGATGGCTGTTTTCATTGCTGATTAATCTACTGATAATTTCAGCAATCAACTGATTGATCATTCTAGTCTATGAAATGTCAAAGCCATGGAATTAAACTAAGCTGCAAATGCTCACATATCAGAAGCTGTAATCAGCAAATGTGTGTTTTTCTCATAGTAGAGAAATGACACAAATGATCGATTGATCAGACGTCATCAGATAATATTGTGTGGATCCATTTATTGACTTACTGACTAATCATTTCTGCAGTGTTCATGTTAAGACTGTCGGTGCCTTTGGCTGCTGTGAGTGAAGTGTTGGTCAGCTGTGTGTCGCTGTCCAGGAGTCTCTTAATGCACTCAGTTGCCACAGATACAGGATGATTAAAGGCAATTTACTGTTATTTGTTTTTACCAGGAGGGACCACACAAAGGACTGATCCTCCTGACATGATGCTCATTTTCTTGTCTCTGCTGTTTGTGATTATTGTTGCAGTAAAATGGTTCATGTAATACATTTGATTCTTGCTCCATCTCCCTGCCTTGTGTCTCATACTGAACGTGTATGTTTTTATTTATATGTACCCTACAGCGAGCAGTTTTCCCAAGTGTGGGATAAACAAAGAATTACTTGTTACACTGCCACTGACACCGTTGTTCATTTCAGAGTTTGAAACTGCAGAGACTATGACTCACAGGGAATTTTCTCTGTAGCTTGGCAGATTGACAGTAGCTCTCAAAAAGTCTAAAGGTTTGGGAGATTATTTCTGCACTTTTGCCATTTGAGACTAGTTAGCCAAAAGGATGGGAATAAGGAGGATGAACTATATTTGGAGACCTTTTAATGTTATGCTTTGTTCTGACATTTAGCTTCTTGCTCTTATAATGATGGGTGGAAAAAGAGGAAGCAGCCCGAAAAGATAAGGAGCAGAATGTGGGAAGAGAGGGCGATGAAAAGATCAGCAGAGATGGACATATTTGAATAAAAAAAGAAAGGTGAAAGTTGACATCTGTGATGACACTTTTATTGCCTGGGCAGAAGTTAAGCCTTGTTAGCAGTGATGGTAGTAACAGCAGTGACAGATGTACTGAGAGATAGGACGGAAGCAGGAGAGAAGCTGTGTTTGAAGGAGTGAGGATGATAGAAAGAGAGAAAGAGAGAGAGAGATCGTGATGCTGATGAGCTGCTGCCACCCATCCCTCCGCTCGTCTCTCCTAGAGCACGATAGCTCCATCAACAGGGGTTGCCGTGGCAACGCCAGCCTTCCCCCTGACCCCATGTGAACAGAGCCACAGGATTAGTCCTGAAAGGGAACTCAAATGTCAACACAGCTCCAGGCGTTGCCACGTAGGCCTGAGAGAGAAAAGGGGTGTCTGTTTTTCTGCACAGTCGAATAATTCTGCAAGTGTGTCATCATGTCATCGACTCCTGTGTCCACTACGGCTTATTGAGTAAACTCATCTTACCCAAAGATGATCAGAGGGAGACCTAAACTAGTTAAAAAAGGCCTTTCTGCATCAAGAAAATCTAGTTAGGAAATATGCCTGCCTTAACCTAGCAAACAGTGAAAGCAGAACACTAAAAATATAGCAGAATAACTACATAGTTTAATGGTAACATGGCATCAGTTGCCACATTCACAGTGTGTAACAGCATGTATGTACACATATACACGTCATAAAACATGTAAATATAGTAGACGGGCACTGTGTTCAATTGTGGATAGTGACGAAACTCACTTGACATCTGACATTATGTGCATAAATGCATTGTTGCTACTGTTATTTTGCCAAGGACTCCCCGGAAAGCAGTGCTGACATGAGTGGATTATCATGGTGAACTACTGTTAATTGAATTCAAGTGGATGTATGACATGCTATTATGTAAGACAAACATTTTATGCCTCGAAATATTAGACGTCGATGTCACAGAATTGCATTTTTTGGCACAAAATGTTGTTCTTAGGTGTTACAAATGAAAGCTGTACTAGTCAATATTTTATGTCGACAGTACATCCAGTTACTCTGTGTAATGCGACAGCTCTGTGGAATATTTTGCTGCTTTCAGCTGATGAGTTTGGTTCTACAGTTGTGTTTGCCATATTAAGAGCCAGACATTTTCCCAAGCAGTTGGTGGAGGCCAAAGACTTTAAGGTCTTGTATCCTTTATTGAAATGTTGTTCTGGCATACAGTATCAGTAAAAGCACTTTGCTTTAGTCCAACCTTTGTGTTTGTGTCCACACAGCTGCAGTGGAGGCATGTGTTCTGCACGGGCTGAAGCGGCGAGCAGCAGGTTTTCTGCGCAGCAACAAGATAGCAGCACTCTTCATGAAGGTGGGGAAGATCTTCGGCCCAGCTGAGGAGCTGTGTAGGAAGGCACAGGAGCTCGAGCAGATCATCGAGACAAAGTGAGAGACGCGCACGTCACAGTTCGTTCTCACACATCACAGAAGACTTCAAAGCTCACATCAAAGCCTTGTGCGAGCGAAAGCACAGAAAACAAATGGCTGTCTGCTTACTTGAAGGGCTGTTTTTTTTTTACTATGAAAAGCTTTTAAATAATTCATGTTTATGAGCTTTTATGAGTCATGAATCACTGACGCCATTAGCGTCTTGCAGATGCAGTTTTACTTAATAGAATTTTTAAACAACATTAAATTTGTTTTAATATTAAAACTTGTGACTCTCTCTTCCTGCAGACGAAGTCAAAGCTTGCAAAGTCAAGACAGCCTTCGCAAGATGCCCCGACTGCCCAGCCTCAACCCACAGGGTGTCAAGAACCTGTGGATCCGGACGGCTCTATTTGAGAAGGTGCTGGACAAGATTGTCCTTTACTTGGTGGAGAACAGCAGGTACATCAGGAAGGGCCGATGACATTGTGCTCAACTGTTTGTGTTACAAGATCTCTTTATCCCTTTAAAACCACCCTTTCACATTTGTTTTTTAGTAAATACTACGAGAAAGAGGCTGTTCTTATGGACCCTGTGGACGGACCTATCCTTGCCTCTTTGTTAGGTAATTATACAAGACACTGCAATCATTTTGTGTTTATATATGTAATCATATACTCCACTCCAGTTTGGGCTCATGCTTACATGAAAATATGAGGTCCTGGTGGTCTTTACAACAACTAGAGCAGGATTTTACTTTTTTCAGAATAACAGCTTGTTGCTGGACCAGTACGTTAACAAGGACATTGTGGTACAATTTTCTATGTTTTGCTTCCTATCTGTACAAATAGCCAGTTCCTCCTTTACTGGAGTCTGTGTTTCATCTAACTTTCATCTAACTTAGAAGTCTGCTGCACCAGGGACATGATCCCCCACTGGCCTCCCACCATTGAACACTGATCTTTATTTTCAGTGGGGCCAAGCCAGAGGCAATGCTGCTGTTATCTCAGCAGGCACTTTGATCAATGTGTCAGTACCTGTTCCTTTGGAGGAGGCAGTCTTGGTATAATTTTGTGTGGTAAAGCAGTGGATCCTAACTAAGAGGGTCACAAGTTGAATCTGAGGGGTTGTGGGTTGTGATTTCTGCCACACAATATTCTCCTTTTTTAATCTTGCATCTTCATGTCCCTAAAAAGTATTTTAAAAACATTGTGGGAAGGAAAAATCTTTATTGGCAGATAGCCCCCACGCTCTCTTCAGCCAGTTTGAGCTCTTGAGCTCCAGGAGGCACTAGAAAGTCCCTCTGGCGACCAAAAATGTATTTAAGAAGTCCTTCATCTCAAGTGCCATCAGTATCCTTTAACTCAATAACGTGACTGATGAGTTTTAAACCACACACAGACACTGAGCCGATGTAATGTGTTGTGTTTAAAGTGTTTTGTAATGACTCTGTGTGTTTGTTTTATTGACTTTATGTCTGCTTTTTACTGTGTTGTCTTTGTGCTTTAGTGAGCTGAAGACAAATTTCCACCCATGGTGGACAATAAAGATCTATTCTATTCTATTTCTAATTGGCTACTAAATGTTGACTTACACAACTTGTAATGATGGGTCACAAGAAGGCAAAACATATTTTAAGAATCAGTTGTTGATGAGGCCAGCTGCAGATGAGATTAAACTGTTTTTGTGGTGTGAAGCGTTGGTCCTGATGGATTGCAGCTTCCTGCCTGAGTGTTTCAGTTTCAGAGTTTGTTTCTGGGGTGGGAGGAGTCTGTCATCTTAAGTGTTACAAGCCAAAAAGCTTTGGAACTAATTCCTCCAAACGATGATGAAATTCTTTGTACCTTTATGGTGGATGAAAGTGGAGCTCATCTAAGGCCTGTTATGGTACATCTCTGAAAAATTAAGTACAAAGCTGTCCTCCCTCTGTTCCTCTGTTTCTGAGTGCCCTCATTGATGTTTAAGATAATCCAATAGTAATAATTAGTTAATGAAATCTTATAGGCAGTGTCTGCGCTGTGTAACTGTTCATCTTCATTGTGACAGTTGGACCCTGTGCATTGGAGTACACAAAGATGAAGACAGCCGACCACTTCTGGACAGACCCGTCTGCTGACGAGTTGGTGCAAAGACATCGTATCCATGGTGGCCACTGCAGACAGGATTCTCCCACTAAGAGGCCTGCACTGTGTGTGAGTATAAAACTGGTAACACAGTATATGAACATGCAGAATTAGTGCGAGGCTCCCTTTACTTTATCCCACGTGTCTCTAGCAGACAGAGGTTTAGTGGTGCGTCTGATCAGTTTTATTCCCCTCAGAGATGCTGCCTGTCTGATTAACGAGGACCTGCTAAGATTACTGCGTAAAATGAAGCACAGCGTGTCCCAGGAGAAAGAACAGAGCATATCTGAGACCTTCACACTTGTTCAGTCTTCATCAGTGAACCAGGTCAACTCAGCCAATCTTACAGCATCACAACGCTCATTACAGTTGAGTGGTGCTGTGTATTTGTATGTGTGTACTCCAAGGAAAAGTAGACTGGTCTTTACCAACAGGAACAAGACAGGATGCATCGGTGCACATGAATGAATGTTCTCTTATCTTGAGTCATTTAAAAAGGAGATCTTTCAATGGAAAATGGCTTTACTGTGACCGGCCAGCCGTAATTTATTCTGCAAAGATAGTCATCAGTTTAGCCCTGGTGTTTGTTATCTTATGTGTGTATTTTGTGTCTGTGGTGCAGATCCAGAAGCGGCACTCCAGCAGCAGCATGGATGAACGCCCTTCCCCCTCGCCATCGGCTCGTGAATATGTGGAGTCGCTGCATCAAAACAGCAGGGTGACCCTACTGTTTGGCAAAAACAATGTGCTCGTACAACCGGTAACTGTCTGATGCCTCTTAGTCACTCATAGAAATACATGTATAGGTATGACAACCTCCAGATATAATATCTCAGTTTTATTTTTATTTTTTTAATGCATTTGAACATTTCCAATACACAGAGTTTATAGCATACACCACAAAAGCTTGAAGTTTACATAAGATGAAAATATTTGTTTCACACTATCTGAAATCTGCAGCAAGAACATTTTATAAACAGACTGACAACATTTGTGTCCGACATATTATAGAAAGTCACAGCTGAATCATATCATTTGAATCAGGAGAGACTAATTTTTTTATAGTAAAAAGAATATCTATTAAAATGTGTTCATAAGAATTAAAATTTTTGAAAGTCTTTGAAGATTAGACCCCATAGAGATGGTATGATTTAAGGAGGGGGATGAATACATAGTTGAGGTGGCGAACATGAGATGAGAAGAAGATGGAGAAGTGCTGATGATCTGGATGAACAGAGGAATGGGCTTTTGGTGAGCCCGCCCTAGACTCTGGATATGATGGCTGGATGTGAATGGGGTGGAGTAGCATCCTGATTGGCTGTTTGAGATCATGGCAAAATCTGATTGGGTAACTAGTAGACTGAATGCCCACAGTCAGCTGATTAGAGGATGCAGTAGGAGTGAGATAGAGAGAACTGTGAATGGATGAGCACAAAGAAAGTCTTCCTGATTGAACTTAAGCTGAGCTTCATTAAAACCAGAGGAATATTTCTTTCCAAGTTAAAGCCTTGAACAAAACAATGGTCTACATATTGTCATCCCATACATCTCAGAACACTGTATAAGAGCCTAATATGCTCTCTGGTTAATAAGAAAAAAAAAATCCTGTCAGCAACAACAGATTCGGACAGAATATTTTCTGAGTAGAACTGAATTTATTCCTGTGTTCAAAGAGGAATAATACAAAAAAAGAATGTGCCTGATTTAAAAATGGTGCCATTTGCTATTTGTCCTCAAAAAGGCAAACCCATCTACATTTACATGCTTTTTTTTTTAAATAGTCAGTAGCTCGTTGAAATATAATTATACGCTTTTTCTACATAAGCTTTTGTAACAAAATTTATAAAATCTATAAATAAGATTACCAAATAATTGACATTTGTATATTTATTAGATGAATATAATGTAATAAAATGGACAGCTTCGCTATTTACTTGATTTTACTGACTTTTTCAAAATACAGTTCAGATTTTTGATTACGAGGGCATTAAATGACTGGGCAATTTACATGATGAGGGCGGCTTCAACCACAGGTGCTTTCGCCGTGCACCTTCATATTCTGTCACTAGCAGCCATAAGCCTCAAGGAGATTACGTTTTCATTGAGAGAGAACAACTTTCTTGTTCCTGTGATGATTTCAATGTGCACACAGCACCAGCCTCAGGCAGCCAGCCAGAAGCGGACAGGTTACTGCGAGACCAAGTGAGAATAGAGCAAAAAAAAAAAGAAAAGAAAAATCTACCATAGATTCATATTGATTTTCTACATGTTGTCTTGTATGAAGAGACTGTAAGCGGACTCCTTGATTACTATGGATGAGTTATTTAAACAGTATTTCTATCACAATGATTCTGTCCAAAGCTTTTTGATTCATGTAAGCAGTTGATTACTGTAACCGTGTTCACTACAGGTGGTTTCCAACATATGTTTTATTATTGCATCAAATACAAACATCTGTCCTCCTGGTTGTTTCAGAGGGACGACATGGAGGCAATCCCAGGTTACCTCTCTCTGCACCAGAATGCTGACCTCATGACACTGAAGTGGACGCCCAATCAGCTCATGAATGGCTCTGTTGGAGACTTAGACTACGAACGCAGGTGCAAAATTATCCAGCTGCAAATGAATTATGATTACGGTGATTGTGTCTGACTGCTAAGCCTGCCTTTGATTATATTCCCTCCAGAATATCTGACATGCTTCTTCAAAGACATGTTAACTCTACCATACATGTGTGCATCTCTCGGCTGCTGTTTGTGTAACACTCGTGTGTTACTGAATAATGCAGTGCGTTTGTGTGTGGCTCAGTATGAGGAGTCAGTGCTGCTGATGTGATGAGGCTTATTTTCAGCAGAGCAGCAGCCAGCAGATGGTTTATTGACTGAGACACTGTCAGACATCTCTCAAACCCTGCAAACTGTGTTATGTTCCTGTGCCTGTACATGGTTCCTCTCACCAAAAAAAATTGATCATTGCATTAGCCATCTCTGCTCCCGCTCATCTGTGTGCACACTCCTGACTACTCTCTTTATTAGCCATAAAATTAATGTTCCTTGAGATTTCAACTCACGCTGATAAACCTTTCCTATGGATTTGCTTTTCACTGTCAGCTGGTGACTCACCTGGAGTGCTATGACAAGACTGGGTCGTTATTTTATTGATTTATCATTATTATTTAATTTGTGTGCTTGGTGTTTTTCAGTGTATACTGGGACTATGCCATGACAATCCCTCTAGGGGAGATTGTTTACTTGCACTGTCATCAACAAGGTGCGTCCTCACAAACCTTTGTCTTTATGCCACAATTTTAGCGTCAGGTGTTTTTACTGCTTTTTCTATTTGTTGTCACTGTCTGCAATTTAAAGCAGCTGTCAAGTAAAAATATATTATGAATAATTAAACAAAGGAAACCATCTCTGTATCTTCTACAGTTGACAGTGGGGGCACGGTGGTGCTGGTCAGTCAGGATGGGATTCAGAGACCTCCATTTCGCTTCCCAAAAGGAGGCCACTTGCTCCAGTTCCTCTCCTGCCTGGAGAATGGCCTGCTGCCCCATGGCCAGCTGGACCCTCCGCTCTGGTCCCAGAGGGGAAAGGTCAGCACCCAGCAGGAGTTCTTTCTTCGGGTTTCTGCTTGGCTTAACATCCAAAAAACCAATTACATATATTAGGCATTGTTCTGCAAAGAAGAGGACCAAAATGCACAATTAACCTTATCTGATCAATAAATCAATGCAAAAGACATTTAGAGAGAGGTGCACTGCGTGGTTGTAATATTAGTTAGAGTGATACTGATGAATGCGTGGCTTAATGTTTGCTCTGCACTGCCACACAAAAAAAAATCTTAATGAATGGATTTCTTTGTTGGGCTGAGTCTCTGCAGCTAAACAGAATAATGAAAACCACCCACGCATGTTCAGCCACTATTAATAAGCTTAAGCACGCAGACACTCATCATCTTTAATTCACATGGTTGGCTTAGCAGGGCTCTAATGGTTGAGAGTTTTTTGTTGTTGGCATTAGTTTAATAGCAGTTATATTCTCATCACAGGGGAAGGTGTTTCCCAAGCTGCGGAAGAGGGTTCCACAGGGATCTGGATCCACAGACTCTGTCTCAGATAAGGAGGAGGACGAGGCCACGGACTATGTCTTCCGCATCCTCTTTCCAAACAGCCAGTCGGAGTTTGGTGAGATTCCCTCTAGAGAAGCAAATAAACCTGAGCAGCGCCCATGTGCCTCTCTAGATTGTCGCATTTTTATGAAAGTGTTACTCGTTGTTTGTTACAGTGACTGTAACCCATCCACCCCGTCTGACTTCCTCCCTCTCCCTTCAACTGAGTGGACAGTCCTCTTCCAAAACAGGGACCCTGGTTGTACCCAAGAGGTCCTGCAGCTGTCCTGAAGAATCTCCCTCATTCACAGGAAGCAGCTGTAACACTGTCACACCTCGGCTCGTTTGTCCGTCTGTCAGCTTGCTTTAACTCTCTGCATCTAATATCCTCCCGGCCTGTCCTGCGCCTACGGCAATGTTTATTGATGTTTTCCCGTTATTAAAGCCCCACCCACTCCCTGTCGCCTTGTGTCACACCTTTTTTACTGCATTACAGGGCAGTAACCTTTTAACGGCCGGTGGGTGGACAGCTGATTGATCGAATATGGCTCATGGTCAATTGATCCTTCTCTCTGTAATAACGTAATTGAATTTGATGGCCTCATGCTTTCATATTGCGCATCAATTCCAGATTGCATCAATGATTTTGTTTATATGCTTCATCTTTGCTCTAACAGGAATCAGGCGCAAACACTCTGAAGTGCTTTCAGCAGATCACAATCGACAAGCATAATTCTGCTTATGCAAAGTGTTTCCAGCTGTGTTTAAATCATCAACGTACAAATGTAATTGTTGTTGAGAGCCTGAGCAGCATAGTGCCTTTTAAGTGACAATGATGATGTGTGTTTATGTGTGTGTATGTGTGTGCGTGTTGCAGTGACTCCTCCAGACTTGATGGATCAGGGAGCTACAATGTGGCATCCCACTCTCAGGAAGTCTTCGTGTTCCTCTTGTTCTCAGGGGAGCTTCTCTGATGGGGCGACGCCCAAAGGGTGCAACCATGAGAGGTGAGAGACGAGCGTGCTTCAAGCAAGACTGAGTTGTGTCAGATCGTGACAGGGAAACTGCTGAAGACAAAAATCTGACATCCCTCAGTGACAACCAGAAATCTGCAACAATACAGACAAAACTGTGGGAGCAGCAAAGACACAAGAAAGTAGCAATTACCCAGAAGACAATCATGTGACATTTAGCTCAGCGACATGAGAATGTGTTTGGAAAATGAGGTGATAAGCAAGACAGATAAAACGGTTGAAGGCTATTAAAAAAGGCAAGCCTCTGGGCTATATGGCAGCACAATGTGAAATCATTTGACTGATGAAAGGTTAGACTCAACACTGTAATAAGCTCCACACTAGATACTGTATCTCGTGACAATGTGAGTAATTTCTTGTGCGTTAGGTGATTAGTTTAATGATAGTCTTTTAAGGAAAGAGAAGAGAAATGTGTTTCCTCCACACAAGTGAAATGCTCTGTGCTGTGTCTTCCTGCAGGGCTCCTCTGAAGATGCTGTGCGACAACATGAAGAATCAGATCATCTCTCGTGCATTTTATGGCTGTAAGTGATTGCATATTGTTTGTACTGAAAAGCCTTAAAGGGGACCTTTTATGCTTTTTCATATTTAGCGTCTTATATATAGTGTTGCAGTGCAGAATGTTTATATTAAATGTGGCATAAGTTTCATATAATGAGGTAAACTTGTGTAAAATGAATCTCCGAAAGCAGCAACCACAGCTCTCCTATCGTTCTGAATGCTCTGTTTTCAACATTTTTTTTTCTACTTAAGCTACAGCATGACATCATAGTGTGCCAGATTTCTTTATATGGTTATCTGTTTCTGGCACTGTGTAGCCTACGCTGCTACATGTAGCTACATGCTAACATCAGGAAAACATGTAGACTTGTTTTCCAGTGTTAAGTGTATTGTCACCTTACAGCATGTTCACATGTTTTAGTAGAAACCTTAACTACAAGTTTGCACCTGAAGGTGAGCATAATAGGTCCTCTCTAAATATATCTTCACATCCACTGTGAAAATGTGTTGGAAGTAGCAGAGCCATTAAGTAATGAACTGTGTTGTCAACCAGGGTTGGCATACTGCCGTCACCTGTCCACTGTGCGTACACACCTCTCTGCTCTCGTCAATCACACCATTGTGGCGCCCGACGTGCCGTGCGATGCCTACAAAGGGCTCACCACAGACGTGTGGCAGACGTTCCTCCAGGACTGCACAGTAAGCATCGCTGGTGTCACAGCACTGCAACACAGACTCCACAATGCTGCTGACAGTATGGTGTCCACACACAAACACACACATGCATGCTTGTCCACTCCCAGGCTATCTCTTTCACTCTGTCACTCGTCTCTCTTGTACATATTTATCCTCTGCTAATCATGTGGCTCACGTCCTTAGTCTCACAACAGAGTGCATGAAGAAAGACTAATGGGTCTGTCAGGCTCAAAGTCCACATCTACGGTTTATTTGGACATTAGTTACATTTACCTGCAGCCAAGGAGAGTTGACCTGAACATATGTGTTTTATTAGCACATTTTTTCAAACTCTTCTTTTTAAACAACAGTGAAAAAAGTGGCTCAATTAACTGACTGTATAAACAATAGTTTGACAAAGAGCTTTCAGCCTCATCTCACAATTAGAGGATAGAGTTTGCTTTGTTATGGAGATGCCTCAGTTGTCATCACATGACCCAGGGCCTAAAATATAAGTTGTTAAATTTAGAATAATTACTTTTTTTTAATATTTATTTAAAGTAATTACTCTATTTATATGTTTTCCTCTGAGTTATCTTATAAAACCCAGACCAGTCTGTATCAAAATGTAACCTATGTGAAGAGACCAAGCAGCAACCACCAAAATGAAGTGTTTAGTGCCAAAAACTGCAGTTCTTTAAATGGCCACTTGAGGCCAGCTCCAAAATGCCCAGTAAATAAAATTAAAGAAAAATGTTAACAGCTTGGTACAAAAACAGTTTTGGTCTCTGCAGCTAATTTCCCTTCTCATGACAACTGTACAAGGGGGTGAATTTTTATATAACTCACCCGTTTAAATGATAAGGCTTAATGTTAAGCATATTGAAGGGCAGGAGTGTCAGGCTGTCTGCGAGTTGTCACCATACTCTTTAAGACAGCTCCCCCCTCTCATCCAGATAGGGTCACCTCTGGCTCCAAAAAATCAAGATGGTGACCACCAAAATGCCAAACCCGAGGTTTAAAACAGGAGTCCACAAACCAATGAGTAGCTACGTCATTTATTTTATACAGTCATTGCGACAGACACAACATAACCCTATAAATGCTTAATTAAACCATAGATAACAGGTTATGTAACAGATGAAGACAGTTGTTTTTAATCAGGACTTACATTTGAAGATGCATCAGCACATCATACAGTAAACATACTACAAGTAGGATATGTAGAATAGTTTAAAACCATAAGCACATACTAGGGCTGGGCGGTATTCGCTGTGACGATAACTTACCGCAGTAAACATGAGCCGCGGTACTGCTTTTGAAGGTTACCTTCATACCACAGTACTCCAGCTACGGCGGCAGAACGGGGCCCAGCGGCCGGCACCTCCCTCGCTACATGATGAAGGTGGCCTGGCCGACCACACCAAACCCAGGCCCGCGGGAGAAGGGGGCCTGGGAGCCGCCGGCCCTCCCCCTTCCCTCTAACGTTTATACATACTATATAACGTTTTATACACAATAATAGATGGATTAGCAACCCGTTTACTTCTGATGATAAATAGTTTCCATCTTAGACTTGTATGGCTTTTTAAATTGTTTTATTTAAGGTGTAAAAAAAAGAGAGAAGACGATACTGCGATATCATACCGTCACCGCATCCCCCCAAAATAATACCATGGTATTGATTTTAGGCCATACCGCCCAGCCCTAGCACATACATACTGTATAATCACAGTTAGGAGATGTACCAGAGCCTGTTGTCTTCCCCATCTACCACCCTGTTGGATGAATTAATCATTATCTGTATTTACAGTAAAAGCTACTAAGAGGCCTTCGTCGACAGGCTGCCATGTTGTTAATGCTGTTGTTCTGAAGCACTCTTGGATGTTTTAAACATGCAGGGAGAGATAATTGTCTTTTTAATGAAGGGGAAAATCCAGATTGATTAAAAAAAAAACAACTACTTGTGTCCTCAGGCATACGAGGAGAAGGAGCTGCTTCGTCTGGTCTACTTCGGTGGTGTAGACGCCTCGCTGCGTAAAGAGGTGTGGCCGTTCCTGCTGGGTCATTACCAGTTTGGAATGTCAGAGGCTGAGAGGAAAGAGGTTTGTAGTTTCCACAATTATGGCTTCGTGGCCCAATGCATTTTCCACATGAACCGCTGACCCTTGATCGCTCACCCTTCACCCCAGGTGGATGATCAGGTCAGAGTGTGCTACCAACAGACCATGCACGAGTGGCTCGGCTGTGAGGAGATTGTTCGTCAGCGGGAGAAGGAGCAGCATGCTGTGGCATTAGCGAAGTGCTCCTCCGGGGCGAGCATAGACAGTCAGAAGATGATCCACCACAGCTCCACTGTTAGCAATGAGGTGAGGCATTAAGGCACACTTATATTCAGAGTTAGAAAATAAATGTAGCATGGATTACCTAAGTTAGTCTTAGGTAAAGTAATTTAACCATTTTTATTGACAAAAATCTGCATTATAAAAGACAAGGCCATGGGAAATGTAGAACCCAGCATTTTTAGAGCCTGACCCATGCTTAGAACTTTTTACCTTTCTTTTTCCTGCAACTTTACAAATGTGCAGTACTAAATCAGTATTCCTGCATATCAATGAAAAAAAATTGTATATAATAATATCTTGTCCTGAATATCTTTATTTCCCAGTCCTCCCAGAGCTCAGACAGACAGAGTCTGGCTCGCCTGCAGAGTGACTCAAGCAGCAGCACACAGGTATCAAACACTCACCATAATACACAGCCTGCATAGATGGTCGTTCACACAAACTAAATGGCACTTCTGTCAGAGTGTTTAGACTTCCGATATCCTGATCCTCAAGTAATGCATGTGATCTCAACTTTCCGAACCAATACTCCCTGTATTCTCTCCCTTGCTAGTTCTTCACATCCTCCCATCCCTTCCCCTGGAGTAGCCTGCTTCCCTTTGGCTTGTTCTTTCAGGTGTTTGAGTCGGTAGAGGAGGTTGACCAGATCGAGACGGAGCCCAAGAGCGAGGAGGCCAAACAGGTGCCAAAGATACCCAATGGTGCTCTGCAGAACGGGACAAGCTCTCCTGACTCCGGACATCCCTCCTCACGCAACTTCTCAGTCACCTCCGGCCTGTCGGACGGCTCGCTCAGCACGGAGGACAGCGCTGCACCAGATACAATCCCAAAAGTTGCAGCAGTCAAACCAACAGGGGTAGAGAGTGGAGGTCTGACAGAGGAGATGGACAGCCAGGTGAAAGGACAAGTGAAGAATAAAGAGGAGGAGGAAGCACCTGATGTGATCAAAATGGCAGAAACTACTGAAGAGCTGATGAAAGCCGAGGAAGAGACAAGTCTGCCACCAAAAACACAAGAAACTGTTGAAGAGTCTGGAGCAATTAAAACAGAGTGGCCCAAGTGTGAAGATAAAGATGCACTGGCAGACATTAAAGGAATTAAATCTTTAGAGGAAACAGAAAAAGAAGTGCTTGATGAGGGTACTGTGACGGTATCAGCAGCTGCAACTGAATCAAAAGAAGAACTTGTTCAGCAAAGTCTTAAAAAAGAAGTAGAAGTTAGTATTGATGAAATGTCAAAGCTTAAGAAAACTGCAGAAACAAATGTGGAAAAGACGAAGCAAATGGACGAATCAAAGACACGTAAACCACAAGAGGTTTTATTGGCAGAAAAGAGAGAAAATATATCCGTTGATCCTGTGGCTTCCGTTGAAAAGAACCTGGTTCTCTCAGCAGACATCGGGGGGGCGAGAGCACGAGAGCCCTTCTTTATCTCTCAGACAGATGAGGCTCAGGTCATGACTGAATCTGACGAATCTCCTTCAGCCATAGAGATGGAGGAGATCCCCAAAGCCAAAGTTTCCATGGTGCCTTGGAACAGGAAGGGACGTTGTGATACATCATCTTTCTCGGAGGACTCGGTGCCCCACATGGAGCTCAGGCAGGAGGAGGAGCGGGGGAAGCCCAGTCCAGAGAGCACAAAGTCCATCCTGTGTGAGGAGCCAGAGATGGAGAGCCTTTACCCTAACTTTGACTCTCTGGCTGGGTCTGAAGACACTAAGACTGAAGCCACTTCTCAAGAATCTGCTGGGAGTACCTTCTCTGTATGCACACATTATCTTTTTTTTTTTTTTCAAGAATTCATTTATGCTATGTCAACACTAATATGAGTTCTTTTATCTATTCATTCATTTATCATTTTGTATGTTTCAGCAAGAGCTTTTGGACTTGTACACATTAAATCTGCACCGCATTGAAAAGGATGTCCAGCGCTGTGACCGAAACTATTGGTACTTCACTCCTGCCAACCTGGAGAAATTGCGCAACATCATGTGCAGGTAAAACACTGACAGCATCAGGGCTGCAAACATGCTCATTCTACCATCTTCATATGTACAGAAAATGGCCTGCCCACCTTTCAAAGCTGCCAGTATGAATGTAAATGTTTGGACTATAATAACATTCCCTCCCCCATATTCATACCACTGCATCATAACATTTCACTTCTTATCTTATTCATATCAAATAAATGCTCTATATTAAAGGATAGGACCGGCTATATTATCTGTTGCACTTACTGTTGACAAATCCTCATGATAAAGCCAAGTATTTTCTGTGTAGCCAAAGCTTGATGCAGCTTATTCCTCTCTACCACGGATATCCATTGTTGTAATTAAAGGGACAGTCCAACCCTAAATCAAACATACATATTCCTCTTACCTGTAGTGCTACCTATCAGGGAGTCTAGATTATTTTAGTGTGAGTTGCTTCGTGTTGGAGATATAGATCGTAGAGATGTCTGCCTTCTCTCCAGTATAATGGAACTAGATGGCACTCGGGTTGTGGTGCTTAAAGAACCAAAAAAATACTTTTGAATGGCTCAACTGCAATGCCTCTCTTCAGAAATCACGACCTGGTTACTCAAGGTAATCCACAGACCTTGTTGTGAGCAGTTTCACGTAGGAACTATTTTCTTTCTACACAACTACACCCACCAACTGTATTACTGCAAAGAAGAAAGAATGCATACACTGTTAGCTCACCTAGCACAACTGAGCTAGCTAATGTTACAGCTCAGCCAAGGTCGACGCCATAAATTTTTACATCTGTTCTTAGAAGCAAATAGTCAACATAGGAGTTAGCAATGTAGCTCAGTCCCAGCCCATTTAGGGCTTTGTATACACGGAGGAGGACCTTAAAATCAATTGTAGATGTAACAGGAAGCCAGTGCAGAGCAGAGTTTTAAATGAGCTGAAGTCTCTCAGTGGTGTTTGTTTTGGTGGCCAGTAAAAAGTGCATTACAATAGTCAGGTCAGCTTGAAATAAAGGCATGTGTTGTTCATTTTAAGTTCATCCCACATACACCTTTCTGCTGTAAATACTCAGTGGAGCACTAAACGTGTATCAATCCACAGCTGAAACAAATGCATGATTTACACCTTTTTGAATAACATTCACTTAAGTCTAGAGCGTCAATAGCTGTGTCAGGAAATTATGCAGCCTTTTTTATATTTGATACTATATGTGTGTGGCCTGTCATAAGATTAAGAGTCTCAGTAGGAAAAAATGGGCTCAGAGCTGAGTGCCACAGACAGGCAAGGCAAGACAAAGTAATGAGAGAAAGGAAAACACATTATTGGTTTTAGTATTTTCATAGGATTTGCTGAACATAAGAAAAATATAAGTATGATGTCAGGCTCATCTGAAGTGTAGTTGGTAACTTTTATGAAACAACCTTTTATCATATTTTCTGAAACTGTCACTATAATCATGCAGCAGTGCATGAGACAGACAGTCAGTGAAAATAATCATAATCCTCTGCTACTCATTTTGCTTCTAATGGCATTACTGCATGTGAGAGAAAACAACCAATTGTGCGTCTATCAGGTCAATTACAGCTCGTTAACTTCGGTCAAACTAGGGAGTGCTGATCAAATATGAATCAGGATTCTGTTACTGCATGGCCTATGTCTCTCCTTGAATGTTTTCATAAACATGTTTTAGTGTACTGAAAGTGAGAGCAGCAGTAGTTTGACAGCAGCTCACGAGTAGTGGTTGACTTGATTGACAGCTGTGTTAGAGACTCCTCGGCCCTGATTGGTTGTTTTCCGTGAGCTGTGGTCGATTCTAGAAAATGCCATTAGATGCAAAAACGAGTGGGAGGAGGGGCATGATATTTTTCATGGATTATCTGTCTTACATTCTTCTGTGAGGATGTAGTGAAAGCAAATATGACATAAGTTATTTTTTATCAAAATTACCAACTGTAGCTTTAACAGTAATAGATTCATATTTTTCCCTAGTGCACCTCCACATAAACACAACCAAAGGGCCAACTGTAACAGGATAAATGAGTGCCTCAGGACAAAATGTTTTTTTAAAAAACATATTTTCAGCATTGAAGAAAATGTGGAAAAACCTCTGAATCCTGAGCAGTGTCTGACTCAGCGTATGAGTGACAGATAAAAACAGCCGAGTTCACGTCTCTTGGTTGTATATTTACAGCTATATCTGGAGGCACCTTGACATCGGTTACGTGCAGGGCATGTGTGATCTGCTGGCTCCACTCCTAGTCATTCTGGATGATGGTGAGTCAACACTGAATCGCTTCTCTTTTCTGACATGTGGTGTATTTTTTACAGTTATTGATGGAACAACAGAGGACAGTTAGCCCACTCACTTTTCTCACTCCAGCTTCCTCTGTGTGTTTCCTCCTTTCAGAGGCCATGGCCTTCAGCTGTTTCACTGAGCTCATGAAGAGAATGAATCAAAACTTTCCACATGGAGGAGCTATGGATACTCACTTTGCCAACATGCGCTCTCTAATCCAGGTGACAGAGCACCAGTAAAGTCTTAACACACACACTGTAGTGGTCCAGTATCACTAAATCCATTCATTACCAGAAAACGCCCCCACTCTTCCACACTTTTCCTCCACTGCCACTCTTATTATTTATCTCCTGAATCTCCTCTGATTCCTTCTCTGCGTAGATCCTGGATTCTGAGCTGTTTGAGCTAATGCACCAGAATGGAGACTACACCCACTTCTACTTCTGCTACCGCTGGTTTCTCTTAGACTTCAAGCGAGGTAAAGTGACAGCATGGTGCGAAAGAGTTTGTGCCAATTAGAGGAGCAGGAGATTGAATTGGATAAGATGCCAAACCACTTGGCAGCTTGCTAACAACACATTTAGTTACTCAGGCTCGGAAAGGATTTGGAAGTCAGCTATATCTTTGGAAAACCGTTCCTGGGAGTTGTGAAGTAATTGCCATGAACTGCAGCTGCAGAGATAGGTTTTATAATTAATATGGCTTTATACTGAAGATTCAACAATGGACTTGTTTTCTCACCGGGGTTTCTCATTATATCCTTTCTCCCACCCGAACACCTGCTTCCGCTCTTATCTCTCTCCGCTGATAACTCCACTTCCTGCAAGCTCGCCTCCCATCCGAGCCCACAAATGTGGTTCGACTCCTGTTCTTTTTGTGTGATTTGTCTTCCAGAGCTGGTGTACGATGACGTGTTTGCTGTGTGGGAAACCATCTGGGCAGCCAAGTATGTCTCTTCTAGTCACTTTGTCCTCTTCATCGCCCTGGCGTTGGTGGAGATCTACAGGGACATCATCCTGGAGAACAACATGGACTTCACTGACATTATTAAATTCTTTAACGGTAAAACATGCCGCTTTACAGCTGACGTTACTCACATACGTAACTCCTTATCCCTGTTAAAGCTGCAGTCCAATGATATTAGTAGTAGTAGTAGCAGTAGTAGTAGTAGTATTGTTTTAACCAGGTAGTCCCATTAACATTACGAAATCCCTTTTTCAAGGGAGCCCTGGCCAAGAAAGCAGCCTAACATAACAGTACAGTATCAATAAACAGCTTCATATATCTAAAAGGTCACACAGGAGGAAACTGATCTAGCTGTAATTACAAATTACAAATGAATTTGCCTCCAAACCTATCACTACATTTTAAGATGCCCCGGTTGGGATCAGCTGATCTCACTGCAAATCTGTCTGCCACTGGTTCCAGGCTGAAGGGGCAGAGAACAGGCCTGTTTGCCAACTTCAGTTCAAACCTTAGCTATGGACAGATTTGAGCACAACAATAGTTAGTAGTTTTAAGTACTGGTAACATATATCCACATTACAAATCACTTCACTCGTCATGGGGAGAACTGCTTGGCCTGCCAAAACAGTTGTATAATGTGTGTGGCTTTGAAGGAGCTTTGTCAAGTCTGAGTAAATAACCCACGTGATGTCATCAGGGTCATGTTGGCTTTGGCATGGAGATTACAAATGTGTAACATAAACCATCCAAAGGAAACTTGTGGCAGGAAGTTGGAAAGATTTGGAAATCGAAAGGTGATAACAGATTTCCCAATCCTGATCTTAATGCCTCCCAGTGTATCTGCTCAGGAAAACATGGGTAGCAAATGGGAAGTTTATGAGATTCACAGGCATCTCCAGAGGACCTACATCAAGTACCAAGGCACAGTTTGCGAGGAGAAGCAATGTATAAAATGAGTCAACTGTCTTGCTTATCTTTGCTCATTACAATAACATGCAACAGCTCAAGATTATGTGAATGGCTATGGTGTGTAATCATGTGAACCACCACAGCCAACAGCATAGCATGAAGAAGGAGATACGAGTGCTTGTAGAGACTTCTATCAATCACACATGAACTGAATGGAAGTGGAAATTAAAATGGCAGCTACGACGTTACAGCATGTTTCACAACACAAACATGACTAAAACACTGTATAAAGGAAAACTGATGAAAAGATAATTCTGCTTATGGTTCAGTGTGTGTGCCACCATGTTGCTGTGACGACAAGTGTGTTTATGTTGACACACAAAAACGACCTTTTCACTGCAGTTTTCCGTGTCAGTGGTCTTTTTTTTTCCTGAATTTCGAGCACAATGGATTATTCCAAAGAAGACAATATTCCCCCTAAACTGTTAATATGGCTAATAAAATAAATATTCCACTAATATTCCCATTCACATGCAGCTGTGTAAACTCCACTTAATGTGCCCCAGCATGTTGTTATCACGTAAAAAAAAAAAAAAGTAGAACAGCTGGAGCCACTTGGCATTTTGCTTCAGAATTTTTGAACAGCCTTTCTTTTTCTTTGTTTATATCCAAGTCTTTCATAAAGTTTAAAAGTAGGTGTGTTTCTTCTTCAGAACAGAAATGTGGGCTTTTCTTCTGGGCTTGCATCTCTACCCCACAGCCTTACAAACTATTGGCAACTTGGTTTGTGTGCAACGTATCCATGACAACACACAGAGCTGACAGTAAACTGTGTGTCGCAAACTTTGGTAAAAACCCACATTGAGACGCATATTCCGAATGCGCTGTATACATGTACAAATAATGCAATAAAACCCGAGAAGTACCGACATGTTCCACATCTTAATCTGAGTACACTGTTCACATGACAAGTCAAATTCAGAATAGTGGAATATTAGTGTGCATGTAAACTTACCCACCATTAAGAAATGTCAAATCACAACCTATGATGATTAGTTGTGACACGTCTGCTCAGATGTTCTCCAGACATTTGGGGAAATAAATTCAGCTATTTGTGTAGTTTGAATTAGCCAAAGTTGTTCAGGAGAAAAATTAAACTTGTATGTTTCTTTGTCTTTCAGAAATGGCTGAGCACCACAAGATAACACAGATTTTGACCCTGGCCAGAGATCTGGTGTGCAAGGTGCAGATGCTGATAGAGAACAAGTGATGGTGCTGTTTGTCTTCTTTTTCCTTCCAAGTAAAGTGTGACCGGCTGTAGCAGCGCAAGACTAAAATACATCTGAGCAAACCCACACACACACATATACACACACATAACACAAAGCCTTTACAATCACAGTTTGCTGCTATGAGCCTTACTGACCGTATCCACAGTGTCGTTTGTGTTGTCAACAGGTGTATGAGAATATTATGCTTCGTATTTGTCAGTATGTTCAAGTGAAAACAAATATGTATCTGAAAAAGCATTTCTCTAATTTCTAAATATTTTGTCAGAAATCCCTCAAGTGTCGATCTTAACCCGAGTGCACTTAATATTTTGAGACAAGGATGGTCTTAGTTGCACACTTCAAACCAAAAGGCAGAGCTGAAATCCACCAGAGACTATATTTATGAGAAAAATACATTGTGATAATAGTTTATAATAATTATTTTAATAGTCAGAGTGTACGAGATTAACCTTAAATATATATAAGTATAAGTTATCCCCCTCGTCCTACCCCTTAATGACGGAAAGAACATCAGCAGACTTTGAATTTTCTTTAAATACAACAACTTAAAATTAAGCTACTTTTCACTGATGACTGATCCAGAACACTGACTTATAGTCTAAAATGTAACTTAACCTCCACTTCTGTTTAACACACATTAAGAATAATTTAGCTTTTAGCACCATGTCAGTGATTTAGCATCCAACAGTGTTTTTAATGTTTTGATTGAGCTGCCTTGTCTGCCAAATATCGTCTTTATTTGTTATGTGTGAATCGTACTGTACTGAGAGAAACGTGTGTTTATTAAAGGATTATATTATGTAATTCATAACCGAATATTTAAGTGACTTACGGATGTCTGGGCGCAGATTTATATAAAGCAACAAGCCTGATTTGATAGTCTCCAGTTATTTTTCATTATCCAGTGAACCACTGTATATTTTGTAAATTGTGCAGTTTACTCACCTTGACTTTTGTCGCGTATCGTCCGACGCCTGTTTGTTGAATTAAAAGTTAATTTCAGCTTGAATATGATTGTGAATCAGGAAGATGAGACGAGGCAGTGAAAATATTTTAGTCACAGTGACCAAATGAAAAGTTTTGTGGTGCCACATTATAAAGATTCTTTATTGTGAGAGTGACTCGGACAGAGACATGGAAATGAAAGGTACAGATGATGTTATGAGAGAAACAGTTTGATGTTTTGGCAGATGTGGGGCTTGTGAGGACATACATGATACAGTATATGATTTAAACACATAAATTATTACTAATTTACCAACATCCATGCGTGTCATTCATCACCTAAATCGTCACTCAGTTGGTCAAGTGTTGTTCCATGAATGTGGTAGGATGATTTGCTTTTAATATTGGTGTTTCTTTGTGAATGCTAACTGTCTGAAAACCTATTTTTTAATTTATTGTAACATTTATTTGGTATTTATTTATTTATTCATTCATTTTCTCGTTCAGATGCTGCTTCGTTTGTAAAGCTGATATTTTTATTTTGTGGCCAGTTCTAAATGTTGTAAAACAATCAAATTCTATACCAAGAGTTCATATATAAATATATATATATATATTAAATGGTATATGTTCTTATAATAAAACAATAAAAATGGAAGCATCATTATTTTTCCAAAACATGTTGTAATGTGTGTTTTATTCTGAAGTGAGAGAGACAGAGACAGGAATACATCATGAAGGCAGTGGGTCGATAAATCCCCCAGGAGATGAATTCTGACTCTGGTGATCCTCACACTGCATCACTGCAACTAATGGATGGACTCTCATGAAATCTGGTGTTGATATTCACGTCCCACACAAGATGAATAAGAATTATTTTGGTAATCTGCAAAGTTTTTCATATTATCCATGGAGGATGAAAAATTATTTAATTTTCAATATATAAATAAATGTACAAATAGATAACAGATACTGCAATAAATACACAAGTAAAGACATACATTATTAACACAGAAATACAAAAATAAACATGTTTTTTTTAATTTCTATATTTATTTCAGCATTACTCCGTCCTTTTGTTTATGTATTTCTTTATTTATTTACACTCGTGGCAATTTTAATTTTCCACATGGTGCAAAATATGTCACACATGGATTCACAGTGCTACAGTTCATGGGCTAAACAGGGAGGTGAGCATGGTAATCATTATACCTGCTAACCACCTGCATTGTTAGCGTCACCAATGTGATCATTACCATGCTGTGGTCAACATGTGACTCTGAGTGCCTTCTCTCTCGGAGCCTCTGGCGTGGCAGTACTTTTAAAAATTCAGCCGCCCGAACAGGGACTTGAACCCTGGACCCTCAGATTAAAAGTCTGATGCTCTACCGACTGAGCTATCCGGGCTCTGTTAGTGTAGGTTGTGGATCGAGGAATCGGAGGTTCGATCCCCGATTGGAAAATGTCTGTGTCAGTTTTTATCAGCTGTTGAGAACTTGTCAAATATCACTTAATATGAGATTATAAAAGGAGAATGGTTTACATATTTTACATGTCGTCGAGAATACAATCGAATCACCAATGAATGGATGAAGTCTCTGTCTTGTCTGACTGACTATGTCTAGGTGTCAAAGCCTAATGAATTAATATCAAAGGTAAGTTTGACTGTGTCATGTGTCTCAGGATGTGAGGGTCTGTCTTTGTGGTGCAGGCACATTTAATGGGTGATTGTTTTCTGTTAGTACGCTAATTATATTTTCATGTTTTCCAAAGGACATCATGAGAAAAGGTGATCTATAGAATCTGATTCATACGCTGTAATGAACTTCATGCATGGTGAAAATATTCCGTATATGATTTTAACCCATAAATTATTATTGATTTTGGCCTCAGTTACCAACATCCCCGCGTCATTCATTGAACACATCGTCACTCAACTAGCCTGTTCAGTTTGACTCCCATCTGTGTAGTCACACACGTCCACTATTTACACAGAATTTTATTCACTATAAACTTGTTTTGCTGAAATTGTATTTGTTGTTACGTTACGTTGTTACGTTACTTTTATTATTTATTTAATTTATTTTATGTCATTTTATTCTGTACCTCACTGACTTTTTTTAAGAGCTTTCATTTTCTCTATCTTTGCTCGTAAGGTGACATTGAGTATTGTGAAAGGTGGCTATATTTAAAATGTATTATTATATTTATTTCAGCATTAATCTGTTCTTTTGTCCATTTACTCCTTTAAATATGTATGCTTATGTCAGTTTTATTGTCCATAATGAAACTGGTGCAGTGGCTGTGACACATAGATTGATAAGGATACAGTTTACAGGCTAAACAGAGAAGTGCAGTTGGTAATCATTATACTTTTTAACCACCTGTATGTTGCACCATCATTGTGATCATTACAATGCTGGGAGGATCTGCATTTGACTCACAATACCTTCACTCTTAGAGCCGGTGGCAGGGTCGGGACTTTAAAATTTATACCGCCCGAACAGGGACTTGAACCCTGGACCCTCAGATTAAAAGTCTGATGCTCTACCGACTGAGCTATCCGGGCTCTGAAAGGGATATATGTGGATCCAGGAATCGACAGGTCGATCCCCGATGTCGCAACTTTTACCAGTTGTTGAAAACTTTTCAAATATCACCTAATATGTGATTAAAACAAAAGGAGAAGAATAAGTCTTTTTAAGGTTTATAAACTTTAATTGTCATCGAGAATACAATCTAATTACCAATGAATGGAGGAATTATTGAAAGCACTGCAACAACATAGCCTAATTGTGTTGTCTGAGTAGCTCTGTATGCCTGCATGCAATGTTGAACTGTTTGTTACTGCACGTTTAAGAAAAAACATTCTGGTCAGTCATTGTTCTCAGAAAGGTACAGTTTGCTTGTCCCCTGTTTTTACAGTTATTTGGGTATAAATACATAAGTTCTGTTGTAGAAATACAGAGCAAATCTATTACAACACACACTGACTGGCCACTTCATTAGGTACACCTGTTCAACTGCTTGTTAATGCAAATAAGTAAACAGCCAACCATGTGGCAGTCTGAAAAAGAGAAAATATCCAGTGAGCAGCAGTTCTCTGGGTGAAAATGCCTTGCTGATGCCAGAGGTCAGAGGAGAATGGCCAGACTGGTTCAAGATGATAGAAAGGCAACAGTAACTCAAATAACCACTCATTACAACCAAGGTCTGCAGAAGACCATCTCTGAACCAACAACACATCGCACCTTGAAGCAGCTACAGCAGCAGAAGACCACACCAGGTGCCACTCCTGTCAGCTAACAAACTGAGGCTACAATTCACATAGGCTCACCAAAACTGGACAATAGAAGATTGGAAAAACGTTGCCTGGTCTGATGAGTCTGGATTTCTGCTGCTACATTCAGATGGTAGGGTCAGAATTTGGTGTAAACAACATGAAAGCATGGATCCATCCTGCTTTGTATCAATGGATCAGGCTGCTGGTGATGGTGTAATGGTGTGGGGGATATTTTCTTGGTACACTTTGGGCCCCTTAGTACCAACTGAGCATGGTTGAAACACCACAGCCTACCTGAGTATTGTTGCTTACGTGTTGATCCCTTTATGACCACAGTGTGCCCATCTTCTGATGGCTACTTCCAGCAGGATAACGCACCATGTCACAAAGCTCAAATCATCTCAAACTGGTTTCTTGAACATGACAATGAGTTCACTGTAATCCAATGGCCTCCACAGTCACCAGATCTCAATCCAATAGAGCACCTTTGGGATGTGGTGGAACAGGAGATTCACATCATGGATGTGCAGCTGACAAATCTGCAGCAACTGTGTGATGCTATCATGTCAATATGGACCAAAATCTCTGAGGAATGTTTCCAGCACCTTGTTGAATCTATGCCACAGAGAATTAAGGCTGTTCTGAAGGCAAAAGGGGATTCAACCTGGTACTAGTAAGGTGTACCTAATAAAGTGGCTGGTGAGCTTATACAGAATATGTAATACACTTTCTCACCCAACTTACCTCAATTCTCTCACACACATACATTTGTGACCATAAAAACAACACTGCTCCTACTGGTAAAACATGTAATCAAAGCTTCTGTCCTGTAATGATAGTAAAACAAAATCAGCATACTCCAAATACCAAATTTAATGCAACATTTGTCAGCATTGAGTTATTTGTTTTGCTTATTTTTCTTAAGTACATGAAATATAGCAATCAATTTTTGGTCTTTAAAAGTGATTTAAAATTACACTACCATTATCTACTGTGCAGATGGGGGTTATTATCAGAACATGAATTTGAACCCTCGACCCTCAGATTAAAAGTTTAATGCTCAATAATCTGTTACAATGTTAGATATTGTTAATAATATTGATATAAACAAGTAAGAAAATATGCAAAACTTAAACTCAGCAATAGATGTCCTGTAGTGAGCTAGCTAACAGAGAACGGCATAACAAAAATACAGACAACCCCTTGTTATTTATCATTTCTTCTCTGTAATTATTAAGTTTTAGCTGGCCAGCTTCCTCGCTGATCAAATAAATCTATAATAAATGCCTTTATTTCACCTTGTTATGTCATTGGGTTAACAAGGTGAAAACAACTAGAGAAGCTCAATGGTGATTGGTTGCGAACAGATGGTGCATTTTGGAGAAGTGCCATGGTGATTGGCTGTCAGTTTTGCGGAAAGATGGTAATGGCTAAATGTGATTGGGTGGCACTGGTCATTCAGTAAATCCTGTCGTAAGAAAACTCTACGCCCGAACAGGGACTTGAACCCTGGACCCTCAGATTAAAAGTCTGATGCTCTACCGACTGAGCTATCCGGGCGCTCTGAAATCAACAGCTGCCTTTATCGGTCATAAATCCAGTGTTTATGAATTTTTATTTAATATTTTCTTGGCTGCATTTTGCTAGCTACTTACGCTAAGTTGTATGACAACTGCTATCACGTATTAAGACACTACGCAGACGCTAACAGCAGCATTTGAAACAGGAAACGCTTGTTTCACAATGACATGAGTGTATTTCTGGTGTATTTCCGGTATGTTATATTGTTACTTGAGGAGAGTTTGGCTGAGGAGGGTTGAACGTCGACAGGACAATATTCCTCCACATTGAAGACGCCACTACAACATTTTTAATAAGACTAAGCAGTCTGTCTGTAGGAGACAGAAGCGAAGACGGAAAGAAGTGGATATTAGTCATCTCACTGCCACTCGTGCTACTTCCTTTGGACTAGCTACGGCAAGCCGTGAGCGACATACATGCTAGTTTACTGTGTGGCTTACCCTCACCGCCGACCTTCCTGTTGATTTACTAAATACTAAGAAAATGTGACACTATTTTTTATACAACTCGGTTATAGCTGGCTACATAATTGTCCTGAAAATGTCGGCGTTGCGTCTCGCTGCTAAACGAACATGTGGCGTGAGAGTCAGTCGTCCTTCCTGTAACCTGCCAACAAACGATGGATACATGGTAACAAATGTGGAGAGTCTCCCCCGAAGGAGACACAGCAGCCTACAGAGCCACATGACAAATGTAACGCGTCTGTTGAGCTCTCAACCTCATAACTCCAAGGTAAATTAAAGGTCAATTGCTGATACTTGAATTGCAGTTTGTTCAGCACAACATTGACTCGGGTG